ACTTTTTATAGCCCTGTCACACTCTGAGATAGAGTTGTGTCATTATATAGAGTTATATAACCGTAAAGAGTTATATCTCTGGAAGCATTACAGCATTGTCCCAGACAGTCTTGATTATCAAAGTCTGGCTCTATCAAGTGAAAAAAACCCAACTTCAGGATACTGCTGTGCCATCTCCTGATCCCATCTGTTAACAGCACATGGTCCTGAGTTGTAGGAGCCTCATTAACACATCTTTGAATCCTAATTCAGCATCCCATCAATATTCACCAGACCTCCCCAATCACGTCCAGCAGGTGACAAGCCTGATACTTCACGCAAAAGGGACTCGAAATAACCAGTGAGAATCCTACCCGAATAAGCATCCAAGTTTACCTAGAGGCCACATTTTTTCTTCACTGACGATAACAAAAGGAATAAAGCCATTGCACAACTAGGTGAAACTTGACTAGTAGCCAAAAAATGCCAGTCTTTATCTCTACCCTTAAACTTTCAGTTCAGTATAATCTACAGCACTCCTGGCTTCAAACGCTGTTAACATTTTAACTGGCCCGATTTGCCCTTCTAATAGCTAGGGCCCAGAAAAATGGCCTCATTTTTTTTCTGACAAATAAACATAAGATTATTACCACTGTGTGTCTTTGGAGGGATTGAAAGTCTTCAGATGTTTTTAAAAGGCCATTGGGTAAAGACAGAATAAAAGCACAGCACGCTGACAAAAGCATCCAACTGTGACCCTACAATGGTACAAACATTAAAAAGAAGATTCTTTGGGTTTTATTCCCTGGAAGAAAATACATAATACAATCTTTCAAATGCCTGTAATCGCCTTCCACCTCTGCTGTGTAAGGCATTCAGCCAGGACACCTCGGAATCCGGCCCTCCACCACCACAGGTAGGACCTATTGCTTTGTACTGAATCCAGAGCAGACAAATGTTCATATTACCAAAGAGGAAAAGCAGAAGGAAAGAAAGGGAGACCAGACAAAACACAGAACAGCTCCTTCACTGGAAAACAAGGCATTGTCCTAGTGACCACCAAGTGTGGCCATCATCTCCTGCAACACCTCCTGCCCCATCACTAATTCTCATACCGCTTCTTCCACGCTGCCACCATCCACAGCTCCTCCAGCCACCAACTCAGGAGCTGGGGCACTGTGAACCATAAAACCATAAATCCAGTCAGCAGAGGAGTGTTCCCCCTACCCTCCACACCTACACAGCTGCTGGTGGCATCTTCACCCAGGAGTGAACACATCAAGCTCATGGCTGATGTTTCCTTCCATTATCACCATCATTATCAACTGTTTCTACTTGAGATGCTGGGTTGCTTGGGTTTGAGTTGGATTGTTTGTGGGTTGTTTTTTTTTGGGGGGGGGAGGGGCTTGAGGTATTTTTACACTTTTGCACGGTTAGACACTTTTGAAGCCATTTTCCATTTACAAGGATACAACAGTACTTTTTGGTCACTGTTACATTGCTGCACATCACCCAGCAATAATAGATACCAGCATGAGTAACACGAAAACAAGTCAGTCAAATCTTCAGTGTCAAACTGCCTGTACCCTCTCAGAAAACAAGGTTTTTGATCTCTGCCACTATATTTTATTAGAGGAAGGTAGCTTTTAAACATCCCTTTTCTCCAGTCTTGCCTTCAGTGCAGTAAGTTTCAACAGCTCTCTGGCCTGCAACAAATTCACAGTCTCCTGGGTCACCCGGGAAAATTTTTCACTACTTTTACTCCTTCCTGCAAGCAAAGCCCCCTCCCACCCCCCACCCCCTTTCTGACAGCATTAACACCCAGCGAAGGGTGAGCACCCAGGTAAACAGACACACACAGCATCTGCCTCTGTGCCCCAGACCTCGCCAACTCCCCTTGCTCGCACGGGGCTAGTCCCCATGTTGTCAGCTATATTTCTTGTTCTGAGCCTGTAAACCATCATGTTTTTGACCCCGTATCAGGAAAAAAATCCCACCTTTCCCTTGCAACAGGCTTTGTAGTAAGACAACTATTTTCTTTTGTTTGTATGCCTTGTTTTCAGAAGTATGACAAGCTCTTTGACACTTCTGAGCAGTTCTGCATCCTCAGCACCCGGGTACTGCTCTCTGTCCCCCAAAACTGCTGTTCCCTTGCAAGGTCTACATGAGATGCTGATCGCGCTGCAGCCACCACAAGCAGGTCTGGCAAACCCAACCATTTATTTGCAGGAGCCAGGACAGATAGACACCCTGCAGTGTAGATACACCCATTGTTATGATTTAAATACCAAATCCTTGTACCTCGCCGGAGCACGATATACTGAATCTTCACAACAAAGCAGCATACCTTCAAACAGTGCAGAATATATTGGTACGGAAAGATTATTGCATAATAGCATCAATATTTTATTTCTGTTGAATTTTTTATCTCAAATTTACTGCTCCCATAAGTAATAGACAGTAACTCATCTGCACCATAGTTACTTATGTATTATGTATTGCACGGTCCTGGCAGAATTTCCACAGAAAAAATCTTTCTTTTAAAAAGAAAAAAAATAGCCCTTTCAATGACAAATCCTAGCACCCAACAGCAGTATTTTACTGAAATGCTTTTTACAAAAATTTAAAAATTCTCCACTAAACTGTAATGTTTATGTTTACCAGTCACATAATTCAAAAAGAAAGTGGCCTGACAGCTTCTAAGCACATTGTAATGTTATCTGCAAGGACAATGAACTATGCATCTCTCCTAGCATCACGTCTGACAAAACAACACTGTGATCCTAGTTCCGTGGGATCCCGCAGATCCACCCAGTTGAGACACAGAGGGTAAGGCAACAGGGCTGGTTTCCCATCCTTGCTGTAAAATGATGCAAATGTTTGAATGTGATTTTTTTTTACATGAAGAATATAAAAGACAAGCTCTAATTCAAGCAAAAGAAGAAAAAATCAGGTCAATGGTTTGCAGTTACGGAGCTTGTTGGAGGTACTGATCAATGTTAATCAATGCTCTGATCAAAGCATCCTGAGCAAATTCATAAGTCTCCAATCGTATGCCTTAAAGTCACTTGAGAGATGTGGCTGTACTACCTTCTGCGGTGTTGTGTTTTGGGTTTTGTTTCTTAAAGTTTTTTTTTTAAAGTACGACTTTCACAGAAGTAAATACTCTTTAATCATGCAGTGAAACCTCTCTGCCTGCTGACAATATTTTGCAATGTTCATAGTTAACACCTGGCATTTTAACTAATGGTTCCCTTCAGCGGAGAACAGCAGTACAAGTTACGCACTTTGCAGCTATTGCTCTTTCCCATAGGAACATATATTGTTCTATAATGGATGCCAGGTGGATTCTGCTCCTCTTCAGCCACAAGACGGGGAGCGGAGGGCTCAACTACCCAGCATATCCCTGCCTCCCCAGGGAAGGCAGCAGGGGACGTATCTCCCAGGCCAAGAATCCAAAGGAGGCAACATTCATCATTTCTGCACCGGGGAGCCACCTTCAATACGTTTTCTCTGTCCTGCTGCAGCCCCACTCTCCTCAGTACATCTATACGTACTGCAGAAAGCGAGGCGGTGCTGGTGAAAGGGGAATTTGGGCGTTGGTTCCATGTGAGCTACATCTCGATTCCCCCAGAAAGCATCAAATACAAAATCCTACAAGAAGATCCTTGCAAAGACTGGCTTTTTCCTTGATGAGCTCCCACCACATATTATATACGCTGCAGCAAGGAGCCAGTCCGACGCCTTCAGACCTCCAATAAAGTCCTTTCAGTTAACTGGCATTTATTCTAAAAATTTCAGATTATTTCCAGGTGGAAGAATTCCGTGTTACGGAGCTGAACGTGAAATAAAGGAACATTTGCAGGTTGCTAACTAAATTGTAGAGGCACTAAAGCTTATGATGGCTGAGAAGGTATTCCTATATCAGGATCTTATAACTTCATAGATAATACTCTCTAGACAAAAAAATTCTCATATTTGGTGTTACCCAAAGAGATGGCTTTAATTTTATTTTAAGTCTGCCTTTATAAATCTACTTTTCAGTTACCCAAACACATATAATGTTATCTAGACCATAAGACACTAGTTTAAATCCTGCTTGCATTCAAATGACACGAGGTGTATTCTAAAGTACATGGCTTAAAGTACACATCACTCTCGGTGAGATATCAAGCCTTCTCCATGCATGAAGAGAAAAAAATAGCAAGGAACTAATCATCAGAAGGCTACTTCCAAGTGAAGATGGGATGTGGATGCTGTAGCATACCTGCCCTTATTTATGTAAATGTGCCATGATTTCACCCAAAGCAACACACATGAACCTGACACAAGACACACATCTTAGAACCAACGCAGAGGATGCTGCTAGATCCTCTGCACCTTTCCCCACCAATACTCTCTTGAGCAAGGCTGCGGGTCTGGCCATGGCTTGTTAGGTGACAAGAGCATGGCACATCTCAACAAACACCATCACCAGCAGCTGTTAAACAGCAAGTACAATGTCCTCTGCCATGCAGTAAACATCGCTGGCCAGTAATGAAGGACCCAGATGGTCTGCTTCCATTGCATTTCATCTCCAACAGTGAGAAAGGGAGGAAATATCAACATCTCAGCCAAAAGGAGCTGAAATTATTTTTCAATAAAAAGAAGATGCCAGTCCCTTACTAGTAAGGTGTCCCAAAACAACACAGTATTAAAATGACTCAAAAGCTGTGTAATTTTTAGTAAATGCCAGCTAAAAAACAAACAAACAAAAAAAGTAGTGAAAAAGTAGTGAAATTACAAAGAGAAAGGAAGGCTTGTGACTCTGGCAAAATGTTGTTAGGGAATTTCCACTCATGGTGATTTGCCTTTCATTTTTAAGCAATAATTTAGGAGAGTGGCATCAAAAGTCTGAGAAGTCACAAAACATTTCCTGAATTCAAGACACAGATCACAGGCGTGACATATCTCTGTCAGAGGACTGAGCTCAGCATGTACTTTATCACTTACCAAAGAAAAATACTGTATTTCATATTTACCTTTTGTTGAATCATCTTCAATCGGTTGTTTGAACAAGGTGATATCCTTAAAAGTGCACAGGAACAAAACCACTTTGTCATGCTCATTTCTTATGGGTGCAATTTGCATGTAGAACCAAACTGGGGTTCCTAAAGCAAAGAAAAAGGTGACATTGGACTGCGGTGTAGCACAAACTTTCCCCCGCCCATACACAGAGTATTTCATCATTTATATGCTATTATAACACACATGCAGTTTAGGACCATATCTAGGTATTTCTACATCTTCCAGATCTTCTTGTTTTACCTTCCCAAAGGAAAACAACATATTCCTATTTTTGCAGATTCATTTAAACAGGGGAATGTTACCAATTCTAATTAGCTGATAAGCAGAGACTTTATAAATCAGAGGCTTTATAAATCCTCATTCTGAAATAAAATACATGATTCTTCTTCTCCTGCTCTTGTTTCTTCCCAGCATGTCTCACAAATTTAGTGTCTGTAGGGTAGGCAGGTAAGAGAAAAATGGATGGAGAGTATTTTTGATGCCTTCTTCACATAATTCGGAGCTATCAAATCCAAAACTATCGGAGTATACTGTCAAATGCTCCAACTTTTATGCTACTCCATTATTTAAGAGGACCTCAGCTAATCCAGACATAGACTGTAAATGACCTATCAGGACAAATCAGGAGATTCAATTTTCTTTCTGTGTTTCAGGTCATACCCTCCACCTCCTCATCATCCGGCCCCATGGAGTACTCTCCCAATGCAGTTATCTCTATTTAGCTTTTGAAATAAATATAATTTTCAAATCCTACCACTCATCAAATAAACAGCCAAAAAAATGCCTGCAGTGTTGGAGTGGTCAGCATGGCTTTCGGTAAGTCCTCACGCAGGGCTCCTGCAGGTGCTCAGGAGCTGAACCCAGTCCTGTTTCCTCCTAGGCTGAAATGCACGTGGCAGTCCCCTATGTACATGCAGGTCTCCTCTGTAAGGGGCGAAATCTTAAAAGACTTGAAGCCACTTTCTTAGAAACACCTTTTCACCTGCAGGGACGTGAGTGTCAGAGATGCTTTCCATCCAGCAAAGCTCCATGCCCACAGCCATGTCCGCTCCCTCCCAAACTTACAGCTATACACACTGCACTATAAATGCCTTCAGAGCAAGCTAATTACCTTTGGGATTTGATGTGTTATCAGCCAGTTGACATAATGGCTTTTCTCCTGAGCTGCCTGTATGTCAGCCTGAGAGCTGACACATGGAGACAAGCCGCTTGCCCACTGTTATCCCACAGGAACCACTGGCCCCCCCAGATCTCCTCTAATGCACCACGGCTGGGAGCTGTGCCAGGAACTGCAGGATAGATGCCCAGAGGGCAACAAAACCCATTTGGACTAGGACTGCTGTGGGGAAGGTTAAAAACCACAAGGGATCATGACAAAATTCAGCATTGTTGAACTGGGATTAAACCAGTAACTCACTAGCAGTAAACTGGAGAAGTGGGAGAGATGGAGGCCTGCTTTTTGTGATTATTCCAAAGCTATTATGCTGATTACTTGATCATCTCAATTCCCAGTTGCTAACCCAAGATAAAAGACTCTTTTCATAACCTCTAAAACTGAGTGCTGCAGCCGTCTGGAGTAATACTGTACTTGCACTTATACCTGGCAACTCCTCGGCACCCTTTGAAAAGCTCTGAAAATAAGCAGGCAAAATAACCTGTACAACAGCACCGATAAAAATCAAAGACAGAAGCAATATGGCTACTGCTGCAGAAGTAGAAATCTGAGCAAAAGTAGGCAAAGAAGTTTCGTGAAGGAGAAGAAAGTTGTAGCAAATTTTCAGGTCTGAACCTGAAACCTGCTAGCCGGATTAAAACGCCAAAGGGGGCTTGTGAAGTCAGCAGTCGTATGGATGCTGCCAGAGAACATCAGCTCTTAAAGATGTTCTCTGTGCCAAAGGAAAGAAGGGTGGGAAAGCAACCTGAAAATCTCAAAATCTCCCTCTGCCAAAAGCATAAAGGAATGGGTGAGAAAGAAAAGGCTGTGCCACACAATAATACACGGCACCTCTGGACCTACAGTTTGAAAATGTGGGCAGGAGGGTGCTCTGAGAGCACAGCAAGCTCCATGCAGGAGAGAGGTAACAGACAGGGTCTCTGCAGGTGATAAACACAAGCACTTCCACAGAGTAACTGTCTACGTTTTGCAGGAATTATAGAAATACATATGAATATGCAGAAGTATATTCATTCATACCAAGCAATATTATGCTTTATTTGTTTATCTGCTCCAATATTCAGCCTGAAGGATAAGCAGGCAGTTTCTTGAAGAACCTTCTTCTGCAAGGCTCAGAGTGTGACAAATGGAAGCAAACCCTGGGCAAACAAGATGCTGAACTGGAGCCAAAAGGTGAGCCTATTAATGTTAACAAGAGGTTGAAGTTCTGGGCTTCAGGTGACAGAGAAGGAAGCTGGCAACAGGTGTTATGGATGGGAACTGACTCAGGCCTGAAAAGAAATATGAGGACTTTTCCATAAAGTCCTTCTGTAGTGCTGCATAACTTATGGAAAGTATACGCTTAGAGATCTGGGCAAAGGTGAAGATTTTATTAAGGCAACTGCAGCTCAATAAATCTCTGAAGCATCATCAAGCTTCAGCAGGCAACTCATAACCCAAAGCAAAAAGCGACTGGCTTATTACAGGAAAGCCACCAAGAGAACGCTTTCCTCTTTTTATACCTAAATAAAATAGAAATGAGTTTTGTTCAGGACTGGTTGATGCTACAGCAGGAGCTGTCAGGCCAGTTAATAAGAGAATTCAGGGTCAGGGAGAGCACTGGGTGTCTGGGATCCTCTTCGGAAACCCCATGGACACAGGGCACGGAGGTACTGGGCACCACCACCTGCAAAGATACCCAAAACATGTCTGTCCTGGGAAATTCTCCTGATGCAAGGAGACATCCAGGTGACCTGCACAGGAAATGGACAGAGAAGTAGAAAATCTAGAGAACAGACACATCCATATGCTGAGGAACCGAAAAGAGGTCATTTGGAGGGCTCTTCTGGGCACCTGCAGAAACAGCTGGACTTCAGAGCTGCTCCTGCTTCTCTTTCTAATTAAAGTGTTGGCTAAAATGCCTTGAAGCACGCAGAACTGGACAAATCTAAAGACATTTCCTACTGATTAAGTGCACATACAGGAAGATTGAGTCTAAAAAGGGAAAGTGGAAATAAAGCATAAACTATGTGAGTTTGTTCCAAGAAGACGAGGTATCCAGGATGCTCTCTTAGATATCATGAAAGGTTTATGTGAGTTTGCAGCGAAATGGTGCAGTCAGGCACAGTTAGCTCTTTTCTGAGGTACACCATCACCTTCCCTCAGCCACAACATGCAGAGGAAACCTCTAGCCTCACCCTTGCAAGGTGCTCCATGCCAGCACCGAAGTCCACGCAAGGGAGAAGATGGCCTCAGCTACTGGGCTGCAGGCAGCTGAACCAAGGGGAAAGCTCCCTGACCCCACAGGATCTGCATCCTCTACTGGGCAACGAAAGCCAAACTGAAAAAAACATCTCCGTCAAGATTGCTCTTGGCTTGTGTTTGACATGGCCACCGACACAGTCAACCAGACTTGGTCTACTTAGTGCAGAGGAACCAGCTTCTCTAGAGCGCAGAATCACATAATCACAGAATGGTAGGGGTTGGAAGGGACCTTAACATGTTTCATCTGACAGTTGGGGCTTTCTACCTTGCGAAGATGGCCTGTGCCAGCAGAGGAGGCTGCTGATTTCCACAAGCCCAGCGTGAGACCACAAAACAGTGTGGGTTTTGCTTAGGCTGTGCTATAACACTGATAAGCCAGAAGTACTACCCACATATGTGGCAGGACAGAGAATGTGACTGAAGCGAGTCATGGTTAAGACAAACTAAATAAAATCTTCCCTGGTACTGGCAACTGCCTCTAAACCCAATGCCACCAGGAGGAAGCGACTTAGGTCCTACATCTCATTAAGTTACAAAATTCCCCGGTTTTCTAATTAATCCCTGGGTTATGCATCAAATTTAGTGCTCTCACTAGAGCTCATACGTGTTGGTTTACATACAGCAGAGGCATCTCAACATCACTGGCAGCACCCACTCATGGCAAACAGGGTCTGGGTTCTCACTTGTGGAGACATGGGGGTGTTTCCTGAGGGATGTGGGGGAACCTCATTCAGGATTTCTTTTCACTTAACCCAGTCAGTTTCCATTCAGGGAAACAATCCTCAAAACTAAGCATATTTTGGAAAGAAGGAGTCAGACTAGAGACAGCAGGGAACAACTACTATTCTTGGCAATCTGCACGCTTGTCCTGAAAAAAAGCTCTTTTCTTGAGCTGTGGCAACCAAAATACCCATTTCTTCTCCAAATCTTGCCCCAAATTTATCCATATGTCGAAATAAAAATTTCTTTTAGTCTATTATACACTTTAAATATGCATTATCACTCTCAACACCGTACACAAATATATACATACTGTTTTTCTTGTAGAGGAGAATTTCAAAGCAGTTTGACTCATAGTTGTCGAAAGTCTGTCTGACTTTTTCAATGGTCTTCTTGTCTGTCAGTTCACCATACATAAAACTGAAAAAGAAAAAAGGTTTCTCTTTTTTCTAGACAAGCAACAACTTTGTTACAGTCACCTTAAACAGCATCATCATTGGAGATGCTATCAAATGTCATTTACCAAGGCTTAATTATGATTTACACTCCATTTAAATATTTATAGTGTCATAAGGAAACATACAACAGTGAGTAACCATGACCACCTTTTTACTCTAAGTGGCAGCAAATAAACCTATTTTATTATTTCATTAAGTACTTTTCTGAGCGTATTTTTAAGGATATGTGGCTAGAAAAAGAGCTGATAGCCTATAAAACCATTATTTCCACAGCTGCAGGCCGTGAGAATATTGCTATCAAAACAGAGAAAACTGAACAAAACCTCTAAAACCTCCCAAATTTTGTTCAATCCTCTTGAAAAGGCTTCTGGAGGAAGAACAGAAGCTACTACAGGCAAAGGCTGCTTGCTGAATCGATGGCTACAAATCTAATCTTGTCAAGATGCATCTGGGACAAGAAGATAATTGGAATCTTTTCACTAAATACTGATTACAAATAGAGGTAGGATTTAACTAACCAGAAGTGGTAACTTTAATGCTCTGAAAATTCAGCACAGAAAGTGTGTGAGTTGTCTCAGTGTAGCTACATCTGCGCTACTACCAAACGTAACCAAATTCACCCTCATTTTCCTTATTGTATACTGCATTTCTTCAATATTTCAGTGAAAATATGTAAAACATTAAAATGCTTTTGGAGGCTCACCCCCCTCCAGACTGAGAATATAAAAATGTTAATTTTAACTCTGCTGTTTCTTGCCACTTGACCATCTCTTGTTTGCGTTCTTTTCCAGGTCAGACTTTCAGCAGGTGTAAGCAAACCCAACCCCCTGACCTTACTTTTGAAAGCCTCCCTAAGGAAACAGCCAGGCTTTTATTGTTATTCTTCCCTGGATAAAAATAAGCAAAGACCACTCTGTGCAAATTCCCAATTACAGAACTGAAGGAAAATGGAACATGGGATAAAAGCTTTCAGACACTTGGATGAATATACTTTTAATTGATCAGATTTTTTTTTTCCCCTCTTTTCTTTGTTCACAAACAGCTTGAGCTTCAGCTGAAACCTACAACAGACAACCCTGAGAATACGAAAGGGAAAAGAAAAGCTATCAGTGCCTCTGTGGTTTCAATGCAGCTTCTCTTTTATTGATCAACAGACCTCCAAAGGTTCAATAAACATTTATTTTACGTCTACCATTCTGAAAGAAATAATAAAACAGCATAGTGGTTAGTGGCTCGGCAAGCATTAAAATACTCAATGAAGGCCAGAGCATGAATCTCTTCTTTACATGGCCAACCAAGGGAGGTAATGGGGCTGCTCCCAGGATAAGGTGCTGCCCAGCACGGGTGATGGAGGCAGACGCAGGGCATCACAGTGACTCCAACATCTGTATGTCACTACAGGCGCTTCTTCACCAGTAACGCAGGGAGAGCTACTGATAAATGACATCATAACTGTGACCTTTGGGACAGCACTGTCATGCAGATGCCACTACGGCGACTGACGTCAGGAAATAGTTTTACCAGGGCACAAGGCTTCATTAAAGTACTGCTTATCATTAATATACGCGGACATCTTTAGGAAATGCAAAACACAGCCTACTGCTCATTTTCACATGACCTGTCTTTCTTTCCCCAGTTCAGCTGATAACCTTTTTTATCATCTCACATATAAATGAATAAATTTTTTTTTTTTTTTAATCTATGCCTTTTTTAATGGACTGACGAGGTAAAGCAGATTGCTCTCCTGTCTGCAAGACAAAATAAGAGCTGGTAGTTTTCACACAGCCTGTTGTGCAATTGAATTCTCTTTTGTTTTCTGGAGATTTAAAGCAATGTTTCTCCTAGTCCTGAAGGAAAAAATAACAACAATTTGTTAAAGTGCTTGACTTTACATGGCTTATAACACAGAAAGTCATCATTAATTAGTGTTAAAATGACAAATCATACTCAGTATTCCGAGTGGTGGACGATACCAGTTAGCGCTGCTGAATACAATCAGTCAACCTTATGTTTTAAATTAAAGACAGCTTATTATTGAGGTAAACCTGTAATACTTAAATCTTACATTATTTTCACATATAAAGAGACATTTTTAAAGCGTTGTGGAATAATAAAAACATTTTTCAGAAGGCGATTTTTAACTGCACTGAATAAACCTCAAAGCCACTTACTGTACAAGTTATATAAGATCTTTGCGTATCACAGGTTTAATTTAATTCAGTCTGTCCTATTTCATACACATGGAGGGACTCCTACTTCTTCAGTCAATCACTCTGTCTTTTTCCGCCTCATGTTTTTTGTTATTTAGCGCTTGTCGAGTGCCTTCAGTGCAAACTGTACAAGACAAAAATATCAAAACCAACCTGCTACTGGGAATCTTACTACCTAGAAAACAGACTTATCAAAGAGAAGCAAGATTTACTGAAATACTCAGAGAAAGGCACAATCTTAGATAATCTCCCTGTCTCTGAAACAGACCATTTGTCATTTAAGATGCCTGGGCTCCTGCCTCCCTGTGAAAGCATCCCTTGGCACAGAAAAGCCACATCTGAAGCTTTGTACCAGGCTCTTCTGTCCTTGTCAGGATCCAGAGCAGGAGCATCGGAACAGCTCCAGGTCTGCAGCGCGTGCCAGGGCGGTATTTAACCGCTGTTTGTGAGGAATTATCCGGGACAGAGGACAAGTGACGCACAGAAGGCATATGATCCTACATCCAATTTACAGCTCTTCATCCAAAAGTGTTGGATGAAAAGCCATCAGTTACAACAGACAAACATCTGCCCACGAGGAACAGCAAATACAAATACACATCAATAGCTTGAAAACATTGCAAGTTGAAGAGGAGGCCCCATTTCTGAGGAGAAACGGTGCAGCTCCCTGGGTCCCACCGGCACACTCAGCAAGGTCTCTTCGCACAGCTTAGGCAGTGCACGGAGGCCTTCTCACATACACAAAAATCAGGTCACAGAGGTGACATCCCAGTATCAAATCTAACTTTTTTCAAGCCCTGCATGCTGTACCCACCATGGAAAATCCCATTTCTTTGAACACAGTGGAAATTTCACCATTAGCTTTGCTGGAGCCAGGATTTCATTCGCAGACTTTTTTTTAATCCCACGTGAAATGGCCTTAAATCAAAACACGCGAGAGCAGAGATGCTGACTGGAGCGTTGCAAGTGTTTCGGTGGAAACGGTACCTGCAAACAACTGCTTCAGCAAGGAGATGCAGCTCCCTCCCCCTGTACAGCTGGAAGGCAACACACAAACGGGGCCGAAGAGCAGATCTCCTCTATGAAAAGAAACCCAGCAACCAGCTACCCCCAGCTAGGCTCTTGGGTGCAAGGAAGGGTAAGCAAAGCAAAGCCTGGAGCAAATGCCAAGTGTAAAATGCCAGGGTAGGTCTACTAACCAGCCACTCACAGGGCGCCTGCTCTTCCAAATGCTCAACGAGAACACAGAGCTTAACTAATAAGCAACAATATCTAGAAAACAGTGATATTACTTGCATCATTAAACTAGATTCCAGTGTTTTATAACTGTTTATTCTTTCAGCGTATTCATGAAGGCATACATTGCCATGACCGCGGGCAACTGGGCATGAAACAAGTGGTTTTCCTGCATGCTGGTTGACCTGTTGGTGCACCTCCAGGCAGGGGTGTCTGCATGGTTAATTGAAGGTTAGAGGCGTCGCAATTGCAGATGCCCTGTTCCTCCTGGACTCTCAGCTCATTTTCATTTGGCACAGCAACGCTTCACCAGCTCACAAGTTCCTACACCTAAAAATCCTGTGCGTTTTAGCACTCACTTCTATCAATTATTCTATATATCAGCCCCAGCTACACATGCAACTTTGGGTGCCACGTCCACCCAGAAGGAACACACACTCATTCCCATCACGCAATATTCACGTACCCTGACCCCTGTGCACACTGTGCCTTTATATAGTCCCCATGAAACTAAGGAAATTGGCACTTGTGCTGACATATTTCAAAGTGATTTTCCTGCCAATGGGCACATTGTTGCTGATTAAAAAGATAAGAGAAGTGCAAAATGAAAGGGATTACCAGCTTGTCACAGGACTAAAAATCACAAAAATCACTCGCACCTCCAGTGCCTTCAGTTTATCCACCCCTCCCTGTGATCAGCATCAGCCAAGACCACCTTAGACTGAACATAATGATGACATACGAGCAGCCCCAAGGTAGGGTATGGGGTGGGACTGACAGAAACAGGATCTAGTGAGTAATTACTGGACTACCAAGGAGAAACATATGGGTGAAAACTGATTTGAAGGCACCATACCTTATAGGCAGGGGCAAACTGACCAAATATTGCAAAACTTATAAATTGTCGTTTATCACACTCACGATTAGTAACAACAATAACTCAGATCAGGGACCAGATTTACATTGTTTGTATCTGTGTATTTTTCTTTGGTCAGATTATTGGCACTAAAACGCTGTAAAAACAGACCCTTCCAAAACCTGTGATAAAGGTGTGGCACCACAGCACTCTTATCCCAAGAGCTTTAGAATAGTAAAGCCAACATCACATACAAAGCAACTTTTATGTATAATGTAGCATACGCTGGGCATAACAAATCTGGACTAAGAGCCTGACTCAGAAAATAATATAAATAATTGCCACAGATATCAAAAAACCTCCAACGACCTTCTGTTGAGTAAGCCTAAGCAGGCACCACTGGCCTTCAAGACTATTTTCCATTCCATACAGCTGCACAGCCCTTCATTAGAGAGCAGCTCCGAAGGCATCGCTCTGGAAGGCTACACGCTGCATGTCAGACCATGCTAAAAACCCCTCCAGTTCTCCTTTAGTCTGCAAAGACTGGGATGCCTCCCAAGAAGCCCAAAACATCACACTGTATATATAACTCCACCAGTTATGACCCAGACACAAAAGAAGTGCTGGCCATGCTTTCAGCATAGAGAGCTCCCTCCAAAATCCAGAGATGGACATATAGAACACTGATAAAAGAAAAAAATTATAATAATCTCTGTTACCAATCCCATTTTCCACAATAATTCCTCCTTGAATTTGCATCTGTATGATTCACCTGTATGATGTACTTTAATGTGGCATAAACAAGATCCTTACAAACAGTAACTAGTGCCCACCACATTCACAAAAAGCACTCAGATGGAATAAACACATTGGTCCCCTCAGTTTTTGAGGCACAGGGGAATCATTATGAGAGAGCTATTACTGAACCTTCACTTTCCCAACATCTTCCTACAATCCCATTCTGTATTTGTGATGATTTTAACGTGCACAGACTATAAAAGTGCTGGCTCACAGCAAATATATACAGTTCAATATAAAGAACAGCAGAGAGCAAAGGAAAAAGTAAGCATGTATATCCGGGATGGCTGTGATAAAGCTGGTTTTTTCAGCCCCACTGAGTCTATCGACTTTGTTGCTACTACATGAATGAATATTTCATTTCAGCAGCACGTACCCATCTCTTCTCCATTGCCCATTAGAGGACACTTGGCTGCACAAAGCAACCCCGGATCCCCAAGGCTTCCTCCCCTTCCCAGCAGATGAGAACAGCGACCACACGTCAGCACGTGTTGCTTTATGGAGTAAGTGATAACTGACATGAAAAGACAGGCTCGCTGCCCGCCCTGCTCCTGCCAGCTGGAGCACCAGTCAATGATCAGTGCCTGGGAGCACCCATCTCCCAAAAATCATCGCTGTAGATATGCAGCCCCCTCCTCCCAGTGCCCTGGAACTGGTTGCTCCCTGAAGGCATGAAGGGAAAACCTGCACAGATTTGTATCTCAGCCACTCCTTGTTGCCTCTGTCCCTGGTCTGCTTCGCTCACACAGACCCACACGCACACGCATTAGGGATTTAGCCTTTCCCCAAAGCATCTCCTTTTAAAGGATGCAGCAGACAAGGCGCAGATGCATGTCTAACCATAAATCACAGCTGCCCGCTCCTGAAAGACCACCAACAAAAGGAAAAAGCCATAAAGCTGCAATGCTCAGAGCAAATATATCATCAGCTTAATCTCCCTCTTGGGAATAAAGATGCTGCTTGCACATTACTGTGCTCTCTGTGTGTGTAACAACAGGGATCAACATGGGCTACCGGATAGCCCACCGGCTCCCCGCATGGTAGCAGGAAAATTAACCAAAATCTAGTCAAAAAGCCTTTCTTTATTGGATCATTACATAGAGCACATTCACACCCATATTAGCCAGGATAAATTTCAAATGAAAGTAGAATGATGTCTCATAATATTTAACCCCTCTTTTGGGAGCACCTGTACTTCACCCTCATTCACTGCTAGAACTTTTTGAAAGCTTTTCCATCAAACAGTCTTTACTCCTACAATGCTCACTGCATTTATGCAGTTACCAGAAGATGACAGGAATTTCCAAACTGGGCAGATCTGACTTGCTTTCCAAACAGATTTGTGTGAAATACATTGAATTTGTAGATGTTCTAAGTAAAATTTAAAAATAATATAAAGAGCTTGAATTTAGCTTTTTTTTTTTTACTTAAGTCTTACAGGATCCTAAACACCACCCCAGATCTAGAAAAGGATATAAAATGAAGTCTTGGAGAAGTTTGTAAATCCTGTTGGAATTAACCCTTGATTTTACTGGAAGTTAGTCAACAATGTGCTTAACTGCACATCATTAAGTGTTTTACCATGTCCTGGATAAGTTGCTGGCTTCACTCAATTAAAGTCTGTTTCAGTACTTTAATTTCTGCAAAATAATCTTTTCTTACATCAATCCTTTTTCCAAAACCTAACTGTTCTTCTCAGCAGACTGTAATTTTAAAAGTGCATCGAGTGGCAATGAACAGACGGTCGGCATACCTGCAAGTGCTACTCTTCTGCATGACGTCAGCTCGATGATATCCAGAGAGTTTACAAAAACCGTCATTACTATAAACTACGGGCCAGTCCACAATCTGGGCATTTCCCAACAAAAAACTGGATTCTGAAAAGAGAAAGAGAGAGAAAGGGCTGTTGTCAGTGGCAAAGTACGTTTAAATCCTACGTGTTACACAGCAGATGCAGAATTATTCATGATGGTAACTTCTACCATGAAATTTCACAGAGAACTAAAATCAAAATGGGCATCAGAAAAGAAATCACGATGAAACAGGATAACTCCTAGTAATGGAATTAGCTTCTTGCACCCCAAAATACTGATATAAGCACCAATGATTTAACAATTTAGAAAGGATTCATTATTCACAACATCTGGGCAAGGTATCACGTTTGATTTTCATTTTACATGTATCTTGAAGTCAACCTTAAATTAACTCGCAAATGGAGCTCTAAACGCTGAGCCGTATGCGTGCCCAATGCTGATGACGGCTCTCTTGCTTAAGACAAGCAAGTTTCTCCTCCTGGCACGTCCCAGTCTGTTGTGCATCCCTGGGATGAGGGACAGGGGGTGCCAGGAGCCGTTGGGGAGGGGCGAGATGTGCCCACAGCACCTCATGGTACATCATGAGCCACATCGCGCCGGGCAGGGCAGGTATGAGGTGACTCCTGTGGAAATTCAGCATGATTGGGGAACTGGAGAGTGCCAAAAGGACTCACACGTTGAACATAAAATAGGTATTGAATTTCGGTGGCAGTCTATTAAAAATGCAAGTAGGGGGGTTTGGTTCATCATAGTAAGATGCATCCATTGCTGTAAACACAAAATACGGGCAGGGACTATTTCTCGGAGGCTCAACTCAGGTCTAAATATCGCTTCAGCCATCTGTCCTTTCTGTCAGTGCCCACAGTTTACACGCACGGACTGGCACCAACACATTATAAGTTACTCCTAAAAGAGTTTTATTCACTAGCTGGGAAAGATTCTTCTATCCCTGCTTTTAGCAAGGCGTTTCCAAAGAAGGAAATACTCATTTTGCTTAAACACAATGTTGTGGGTTTTTATGTTCATCGACACCGTAAACATTCCTAATTTTGTCTCAGAAATAATATTCTCACTTAGTAGAGGTTCTCAAACTGTGATGATCTGCAGAGTTTTCTTTATTTTTACTGTTAGTTTTCAATTTCATTTTGACTGCAGCTACGGAACTAACTTGTCACATTCATTGATGCTAAAAAGCTATTAAAGTATAACTATTAACCATCACTGCTGTAAAGAAATTATAGGAAACATTCCCTTCAGCGGTGCTTGTGGGAAGAAAAAATTAAGGACATTTTTACAAATTTTCCTCCTAATAGCAAAGAATGGTTATGCCAATTACTTACAGACGTACTCAGGTGCACACACTCATTTTCACATAAAAGTGACAGCGGGTTTGCATGAGCTACACACGCCCTTCTCAGAGTATTTGTAAGTGTGACTGGATTGTACATTACGCAAACATTATTCTGTTCAACAAGGAAAGTGTACTGAAAAAAAATAGTATTTATTTCTCTTTTTTTCTTTATAAGCATGAATTTGGAAAAAAACTAATCTGGAGATTATTGGCTTTTCTATAGAAAATCAGATCAAAAAATATTTAAAAGCCAACCAATGTGAGAAATACAAGTTTAGATTTTGTGAAATCTAACACGTTTAAGCTCAAAGAATTTATTTGAATCCATCACAAATATTCCTAAGCCTAAATGCCAACTTTCAGAATTTGCTTTCCTACCCGAAGGGAGATGCCCTCACTACAAGCAGCAGCAGACAGAGAGTACAGCCTGAGCGTTACATAAAATCTCCCCGGCTTTACACAGCCTTTTCTGCGCTGGGGACTCAGCCCAGCTTTCCTCAGCAAAGTGCAGATACTAACACAGGGGACATCCCAGCCCCCTGAAAACCCAAGGCTTCCCTGGAGCTTGTCCCAAACTGATGTCCCCCCAACACCTTGCATAGTCTTTGATTTGGAAAAGGGGACACACCACCAGCCCCCTAAACCCACTGGGCTCCCCCGATGGCAGCCACCCTACTCCCGCCGCACCCCAGCAGCTGGAGAGGATGGAGTGTAAGCAATTCTTAATTTCCCATTCCACAGGGAAACAACCAATATTACAAGACCTCTGATTAGATTTGGAAAGAGATTTCTTTATAGGATTATCTTTCATGGAAGTTTTGCTCACATATCTAGATCGCACAAGCTGGGCAATGAGTGACTGCGATACCAAACTCGGTCGTGGATGCTGTGCACATCTGGGTGCTCCACAGAGGACCCCAGTCCACAACCAGACAACCCTGCTTCAAAGGCTCCCGGTCCAACAGACGTAATCTTGATTGTGCATTCCCACCATGTAACTGTTTCAGGACACAGAGTGCACAGCAGAAGAACATGTTGCAG